CTCAGCTCACTGCAACCTCTGCCTCCTGGGTTCAAGAGATTCTCTTGCCTCAGCTTCCCGAGTAGCTGGGACTACAGGCGTATGCCATCACACCCGGTTATTTTCTTTTGTATTTTTTGTAGAGATGGGTTTTCACCCTGTTAGGCAGGGTGGTCTCCATCTTCTGACCTCGTGATCCACCTTGGCTTCCCAAAGTGCTGGGATTAAAGGTGTGAGCCACTGTGCCCGGCCTTTTTTTTTTTTTTTTTTTTTTGAGACAGGGTCTTGCTCTGTCACCCAGGATGGAGTATAATGGTATAACCATGGCTCCCTGCAGCCTCAACCTCCGGGGCTCACAAGCCCCTCCCACCTTAGCCTCCCAAGTAGCTGGGACCACAGGTGTGTACCACCACATCCAGCTAATTTTGTATTTTTTGTAGCGATGGGGTTTTGCCATGTTGCTCAAGCTGGCTATTTATCAATTTTCAGTGAAATGAATTAAGACCCTAGCAACCTCTCATGGTGACAATGAAGCCTTTCTTTTTTTCAGTATCATTATGAATGCACACATTTATATATGCAATATTGACATGATTTAACTCTTGCTGTCACTTTAATTTTTCATGTTCAAATTTTCCCATCTGGGCAGGGTACGGTGGCTCACACCTGTAATCCCAGCACTTTGAGAGGCCGAGGTGGGCAGATCACTTGAGGCCAGGAGTTTGAGACCAGCCTGGCCAACATGGTGAAATCCCGTCTCTACTAACAATAGAAAAATTAGCTGGGCATGGCAGTGCATGCCTGTGATCTCAGCTACTTGAGAGGCTGAGGCGGGAGAATTGCTTGAACCTGGGAGGTGTTGCAGTGAGCTGAGATTTCACCACTGCACTCCAAACAAAATGAGACCCTGTCTCAAAAAAAAAAAAAAAAATCCCATCCTTTGGGCTTGAGAAGCCTTCAGGTTGCTCCCGTGTCCTCCTGAGCGCACTCTAGTAGCCTTTGACAGCTTCCTTGCTTCTTAGTGTCTGTGTTGTCGTGTGTACTAGGAAAGAGATATCAAAACTAGCACACAAAACCGTTGAGTTTATTGTATACTACTTAGGGCAATATTGTTTATTGTATACTACTTAGGGCAATTTCCTTGTTGATACGCGAGGAAAAAAGTGAGTCAGCTGAAAGCAAACCATAGTTGAGGAACAGTCTGTAGAGCGTACTAGGAAAGACTAGTTTAGAATGGCAGCACATGGTGAGAATAGAAAGCTCTATTAGATTACAATCCCCCTGTGGTTTGGTTTGGTTTGGTTTTGGTTTTGGTTTTGGTTGTCATAAGTACCAGGTGGCTTAACTAATAGAAATTTATTTTCTTATAATTCTGGAAACTGGAAGTCAAGAGCAAGGTGTGGGCAGGGTCGGACTCTCCCGAGGCCGCTCCTTGGCTGGTAGGTGGCCGGCTTCTTCCGGGGCCCTCACAGGGTCCCTCCCTCTGTGCTGTGTGCTCCCTGTGTCCTACTCTCTTCTTCTAAGGATACCCGTCAGATTGGATTAGGGCCCACCCTAATGAGCTCATTTCAACTTAATCACCGCTTTAAAGTCTCATCTCCAAATACAATTACTTTCTGAGGTGCCTCGGGTTCCGACTTTAACATCTGAATTTTGATTAGGACACAATTCAGCCCAGAACGAAAGCAGGTTGCTTTATATTAATAGTTTTTTTTGTGATTGCTCTTAAATCCTCCCCAGCCCGTGTACTCCTTTATTGCGCCTGGGTGTATTGCTCCCACCACCCCACCCTGTGCAGGGAAAGTCACTTGAAGGCACAGCAAGAATGGGAAACATGGCATGAGAATGAAGTTTGGGAAATGCTAAACTAACTCGTTTACGATGCCTTTTCCAACAAAGGAACACTTTTGATATGAGAAATATTCCATCAGTTTAGGCAAACAGATTTTGAAATGGTTCACCCTCATGTTGCCTTAAGCATTCAACTTTTTTTTTGAGATGGAGTCTCACTCTGTCACCCAGGCTGGAGAGTAGTGGCATAATCTCTGCTCACTACAGCCTCCACCTCCGGAGTTCAGGTGATTCTCCTGCCTCAGGCTCCTGAGTAGCTGCTTTACAGGTGCACACCACCATGCCCAGCTAATATTTGTCTTTTCAGTAGAGATGGGGTTTCGCCGGGTTGGCCAGGCTGGTCTCGAACCCCTGTCCTCAAGTGATCCACCCGCCTCAGCCTCCCAAAGTGCTGGGATTACAGGAGTGAACCACTGTGCCAGTCCCCTATGCATTCAACTTCTTTGAATTTCTTAAGGTAATAGAGGAGGTGACAGTATTTAAAGATGGGGGAGGATGGCAGGTGGCATTGCTGAACCTCTCTCTCCTCCCTGGTCCTAACTGACATCAGGGAGAGCTGTGAGCCCAGGGAGAGGGCCTTCCTTCCTGAGACACTCAGCAGAGGTAAGCGGGCACTGCCCATCCTTTCCCTTAGTCGCTGGTGCTTCTCTGTCTAGCGGCTTGCATGTGTTTTCTTAAAATGGGTCCTGGCTGGGAAGAAAAGAAAACCATCAATTACACAGAGATGCATTTCAGTAAAAGATGTTGGGTAGCAAAACTAATATAATCAACTGCACTCAGAAAAAGCCTCAGGAAATGTTTCCCAGCATTGTTCTGGAGGGACGATGAGATCTAAGAGCTGAAGTTCAAGTGGAAGAAAGGGTTGCTGAATGATCCAGACAGTTTTCAGAGCGCGAGGGCATCGAAAACCCTCCCGTTTCTCGGATCAAGTCACCGGGACGCGATATTGGCACTTCTATTTTGCTCAAAAAATAGATTTTGTTTATTTATTCTTAGTCCACATCACATATACAATAATTCAATTGCATCTTTTACTAATCAGTTTGGTTCTGCCTGTCTTCTTGCAGCGTGTACTGAATTTGATGGGAAACCCGGTTATCAGGCACATTGCTAATTACAGAAGGACCGTCACTGTGCGACTGAAGCACTTAACATACCTGGATGATAGACCAGTTTTTCCAAAGGACAGGTAAGAAAAGCCTTCTGATCACATTTTAATCTGTCATAGTTGCCCCTGCTTAATATTAAACTTTTAAAATGTCTGATTCTTAAACAATTTCACATATCAAAAATGTTCTTTGGCAATAGGCTTGATGGCTACATAATTGCCTATAATGGGAATTTGAGCACCTATTCATAGATTTTTAAAATGTTCTTTTGATAAATATCTTTGTATAAGTCATTTACCTCTTTGCTGATGAGCTCCTTGGAATGGAATTTTTGAGGTAGTATCACTGTGTTGAAGAATGCAGTTTGAGACTTTGTAAAAACCCTTTTTAGTTTTTGAGATGGGAGTCTCACTCTGTTGCCAGGCTGGAGGGCAGTGGTGCGATTTTGGCTCATTGCAACCTCCGCCTCCCAGGTTCAAGTGATTCTCCTGCCTCAGCCTACTGAGTAGCTGGGACTACAGATGCATACCACCACGCCCAGCTAATTTCTGTATTTTTAGTAGAGACGGGGTTTCACCATGTTGGCCAGGATGGTCTTGATCTCTTTATGTCATGATCCGCCCTTCTCGGCTTCCCAAAGTACTGGGATTACAGGCTTGAGCCACCGCGCCTGACTGAGACTTTGCATAAACTCTTATACATATTTTCTAGTTGTTTTCTAGAGAGTTTATACCAATTTACAACCTCACATAACACAACCATGAAAAGAAATCTTGGCCAAGTTAGTTGATGGGTGAAGATAGTACCCCACTGATATTTGCGTTTTAAGATAATTGATGGAGTTGGGCATTTTTTTCATTGTTATTGGACAATTATATTTCCTCCTTTATGAATATTCTATTTGTGACTTTTTCCAAGTTTCTGTTTGAAGTGCTTTTCTTACCAATTTGTAAGAACTTCTTTAATGTTTGGAACATCGTACCCTGGACTGCCATGCTTATCATCACCGCTTTTATCTGTGTTTTAAATTTACTTTTTAACTTAGATCAATTTAGTAATTCCACCTAGAATAAAATATCAGTCATATAGGCTACTTGACGAGACGTACAATCTGAATTTTGCATTATACAACATTTACAATAAATGTTGCTTGTAATATGTTTTTATACTCACAAATTTAAATCAAACTAACACATACTTCAAATAGAGCTTCCACTTTAGCCAGGTAAGAAAACCAGAAGACCTGCTCCTGGGAAGTTCAACAGAAACGGACCCAGTTCCCAGGGCCCCAGGTTTCGGGGTGGTGAGGACAGGGGGAGCAGCCAGTGTGCAGGGGCCTGACTCCCAAGCCAGCTCTGCAGCCACTGGCTATGTTACAACCTTAGGGGAGCTCCCTAACCTCCCTGGGCGCACGTTCTTCATCTGCAGAGTGGGGATGATAATACTGTTGCCCCAGGGTCCCTGTGAGCAACATGCAGGACTTCGAGCAGGTGCTCGGCTCTTAGGAATGAACCAGTGGGAGTAGCTGCCCCTGAAGATGCTGCCCACCCCTGGGAGCCATGCTGAGGAAGGTAACAGGGATGTGAGCAATAGGAGCCACTGCTCTTTACAGTGCAGCTGTAAAGTCAGATTAACCTGGCTTGAGTCTTTTTTTTTTTTTTTTTTGAGACAGAGTCTCACTCTATCACTCAGGCTGGAGTGCAGTGGCCCGATCTGGGCACACTGCAACCTCCACCTCCCAGGTTCAAGCAATTCTCCTACCTCAGCCTCCCCAGGAGCTGGGATTACAGGTGCGCACCCCCACATCCAGCTAATTTTTGCGTTGTTAGTAGAGTCGGGGTTCTACCACGTTGGGCAGGCTGGTCTCAAACTCCTGACCTCATGATCCGCCTGCCTCGGCCTTGCACAATGCTTGGATTACAGGTGTGAGCCACCGCGCCCAGTCACTTGAGTCTTTTTTTAGAGACAGGGTTGCACTCTGTCACCCAGGCAGGAGTGCAGTGGTGTGATCACAGCAGCCTTGAACTCCTGGGCTCACACAAGCCTCCCACGTAACTGAGATTACAGGCTTGCACTGCCAAACCCAGCTAATTTTTAAGTCTTTTTGTAGAGAAAGGGGTCTCACTACATTGCCCAGACGCGTTTCAAATTTCTGGCCTCAAGTGATGCTCCTGCCGTGGCCTCCCAAAGCCTTCACAGGTGTGAGCCACCACACCCCCAGCGTTGAATGTTAATCCAACCACTTACTGATGATTTGGGCACTTGCTGTCGTCTGTGATGCAGCAGGTGTCTGCTCACCTGTCATTTTATTAAAGCACTCTCTGTGACCAACTGTCCTGTCTAAATAGTACCTTCTCCACTTGACGTCTGTTTGGCCTGATTTATTTTCCTCTTAGGGCATATACGCATTTCCTTGTTTACGATCTGCCTTCCCCAACTAAAAGGGCTCCTCTAACAGAGATCAGCTCTTCCATTCACTGCTGGATCCCCAGCCTCTGGAACGGTGCCTGGCATGTAGCAGGCAACTGATAGGCCTTTGCTGGCTGTCTGCTCTGAGATGAAAGGGTCTAAGGTTTCCTCGCTGTATGGTAAATGGGGTGGAACATGGTTTATTCTCCTTGGCATATTCTGTCTTAGTGACTTGTGGTCTTTCTCTGCTTTAGTATACTTTGCAACACCCTCTCTATTTCCAAACAAAACACCTGTACCTTTGATTTTACAGCAGCTATCTGCTTCTCCTCTCTGAAGGTAAGCCTTCTGTTTTCACACCACCAGACTTTATTTTCCTTTTTTTTTTTGAGATGGAGTCTCACTCTTCGCCAGGCTGGAGTGCAGTGGCGCGGTCTCGGCTCACTGCAACCTCCATCTCCTGGGCTCAAGCGATTCTCCTGCCTCAGCCTCTTGAGTAGCTGGGACTACAGGTGTGCACCACCATGCCCAGCTAATTTTTGTATCTTTAGTAGAGATGGGGTTTCACCATGTTGGCCAGGATGGTCTCGATCCCTTGACATAGTGATCCACCCTCCGAAAGTGCTGGGATTATGGGCATGAGCCACCACAGCTGTCCCAGACTTTGTTTATCAAATAACAACTTTGTTGAGGCATAATTCACATACCATACAGTTTACATATTTAAAGTGCACAATGCGGCTGGACGCAGTGGCTCATGCCTGTAATCCCAGCACTTTGGGAGGCTGAGGCGGGTGGATCACTTGAGTTCGGGAGACTCCCTCTCAAAATAAAAAAAAAAAACAAATTGTATAATGCAATGGCTGTTAGTATATTCACAGAGTTGTGCAACCATCACCACAATCAATTTTAGAACATTCATGGTGGGGTGCGGTGGCTCATGCCTGTAATTCCAGCACTCTGGGAGGCCAAAGCAGGCGAATCACCTAAGGTTAGGAGTGTGAGACCAGCCTGGCCAGCATGGTGAAGTCCCATCTCCAACTAAAAATAGCAAAATTAGCCAGGTGTGGTGGCGCATGCCTGTAATCGCACTACTCGAGAGGCTGAGGCAGGAGAATCGCTTGAAGCCACAAGCAGAAGTTGTAGTGAGCTGAGATCGCACCACTGCACCTCAGCCTGGGCAACAAGAGTGAAACTCCATCTCAATTAGGAAAAAAAAAAAAAATAGAAGAACATTCTCATCACCCTAAAAAGGAAACACCATCCCCATTAGCAGCCAGCCCCCCATTTCTCGCTCCCCGCAGGCTGTGGCAGCCACTCCTCTGTCGATTCGCCCGTTCTGGACATTTCATATACATGGAGTCACCTGCTATGTGGCCTTTTGTTTCTGACGTCTTTCACTCAGCATTGTGTTGTCAAGGCTCATCTGCAATGTGGCATGTTCCGTCCAGCACTTCCTTCCTTTTTATTGCCAGGTGAATACTGCATTTTGACACACTCCATTTTATTTGTCCATCCATTTTTGGAAATTAGGGTGGTTTTCACTTTTTGGCTGTTATGAATCATGAAATTTTTGTGAGGACAGATGTTGTCTTCTCCTGGGTATATATCTAGGGGTGGAATTTCTGTGCCATACAGGGACTTTATGTTTACATTTTGAGGAGAAGCTGCTGCACCATTTTACATCCCTATCAGCAGTGTGGAAAGTTCCAGCTTTCCCTTATCCTCGCCAGCACTTCTGGCTGCTTGTCCTTTTATTTCTAGTCCCCCGGATGGTATGAAGTGGTGTCTGATTGTGGTTTCCATCGCTTTTTTTCTGGCAGATAATAATGCTGAGCATCTTTCATGTACTTACTGGCAGTTTTTATATCGTCTTTGGAGAAATGCCTGTTCAGTTTCCTTGCCGATTTAAAAAAAAATTAATAGACTTTTTTTTTTTTTTTTTTTTTTGAGACAGCATCTTGCTCTGTCGCTCAGGCTGGAGTGTAGTGGTGCAATCATGACTCACTGCAGCCTCGACCTCCAGAGCTCAAACAACCCTCCCACCTCTCAGCCAGCTGCGTCGCTGGGACTACAGGTGTGCACCACCAGGCCTGGCAAGTTTTCGTGCTTTTTGTAGAGATGGAGTCTTGCCATGTTGCCCAGGCTGGTCTGGAAGTCGTGGGCTCTAGCAGTCTGCCCACCCTGGCTTCCCAAAGTGCTGGGATTACAGGTGTGAGCCATTGCGACTGGCTTAGGCTTTATTTTCAGAGCAGTTTTAGATTTACAGAAAAATTGAGCAGAGAGTGTTTCCATATACCACCCACCCTTACAGTTTCTCCTGTTTGTAACTTCTTACACTCATGTGGTACATTTGTGACAAGTCATCAGCCAATGCTGGCACCTTATTATTGACTGAAGTCTGTCGCTTCTTTAAGGCTCACGCTGGGTGTTGCACATTGTATGGATTTGAACAAAGGTATAATGTCGTGTATCCCCCATCACAGTATCTCACAGAATAGTTTTACTGCCCTGAAAACCCTCTGTGCTCTGCCTATTCATCCCTCCCACCTCAGCCCCAACTCCTGGCATCACTGATCTTTTTACTCTCTCCATAGTTTTGCCTTATCTAGAAAGTTATATAGCTGGAATCATATAGCAGATAGCCTTTATGGACGGGCTTCTTTCACGTAGCAATGAAGTGAGGCTTCTCCCATGACGCTGCGGCCCAACAGCTAGTTTGTTTTCATTGCTGAGAGATATTCCTCCGTCAGGATGTGCCAGAGTTTGTTTATCCAATCACCTACTAAAGGAATTCTTGGCCGCTTCTGATTTTTGCCAAATAGAATAAAACTGCTGTAAACGTCGATGTGCAGGTGTGAGTGTGGACGTTAAGTCTTCAGCTCATTCGGGTAAATACTTAGGAGAGCAATTGCCAGATCATATGGTGAGAGCATTTTTAGTCCTGTAAGAATCCGCCACACCGTCTTCCTAAGTGGCTGTATCATTTTGTATTCCTCCTGGGAACAAGTGAGAGTTCCCCGAACTCCACATCCGTGTTAGCACAGCGTTGTCAATGTGTTGGACTTTAGCCATGTAATAGCAATATCACATTATCTTGTTCTCATTTGCATTTCGCTGAGGACATGGGGTGCGGAGTGTTTTTCACAGGCTTACTTGCCATCTGTTTATCTTTTTTGGTGAGGTAGCGTGATCTTTTGCCCAGTTTTTTTATTGGGTTGTTTCCTTACCTTTGAATTTTAAAAGTTCTTTGTATGTTTTGGATGCAAGCCCTTTCCCAGTTGTCTTTTTCTGTAAGTATTTTCTCCCCAGTCTGTTGCTGGTCTTTTCGATTTTTAAAACTTTGCTCATTTTGGGCCTGGTGCAGTGGCTCATGCATGGAATCCTAGCACTTTGGGAGGCCAAGGTGGGCGGATCATGAGGTCAAGAGATTGAGACCATCTGGCCAACTTGGTGAAACCCCGTCTCTACTGAAAATACAGAAATTAGCTGGGCGTGGTGGCGGGTGCCTGTAGTCCCAGCTACTCAGGAGGCTTAGGTAGGAGAATTGCTTGAACCCGGGAGGCTGAGGTTGCAGTGAGCCAAGATTGCGCCACTGCACTCCCACCTGAGCGAGAGAGCAAGACTCCATCTCCAAAAAACAAAACAAAACAAAACATAAAACTTTGCTCATTTTGATTGTGTCATCTTTTTATTAATGAGTTGTTAGGCTTATTTATATTTTCCAGGTACAACTTATCAAAGATAGGATTTGCAAATATCTTCTTACATTCTTTGTCTTTTTACTTTTTTCCAGTAGAGACAGCGTCTTGCTGTGTTGCCCAGGCTGGTCTCGAACTCCTGCACTCAAGTGACCCTCTCACTTTGGCCTCCAAAGTGCTGGGATTACAGGCATGAGCCGGTGGCCTGCTGTCTTTTTATACTACTTTACTTACGATATCCTTTGCATGACAAGAGTTTTTAATTTCGGTGGAGTCCGATTTCTCTATTTTTTCTCTTGTCACTTGTGCTTTTGGTGCCATACCTAGGAAGGCTGTGCAGACCGTTCCATCTTAATAAAATGTCCACGTGTAACTGTCATCCTTGCAGCCACATGTCTGACGCTCACTTTGCTTTGATTTTGAAGAAAATGAGTAAGGTGGTCAGAGAGTATATGTTTGGAGTTCCCCTCACCTATTTATGTGTCTTTGGTTTTTTCAACAGAGCTTGTGCAGAGGCCTGGGCTAGGGGAGGGTACACAGCTGAGAAGGAGGAGAGACAGCAGTGGGAGAGTCGGGAGCAGAAGAAGATCACAGACAGCATTGAAGCCTTGGCCATGATCAAGCGGCGGGCGGAGGAGAGGAAAAGACAGAGAGAGAGTCAAGGAAGAGGTAGGCGCTCTAGGCCCAAGGCAGCAGCCCCAGAGTTCCTGTGAGGTCAGGCAGGTCCAAGCTGTCAAACTCAGTCTTTAGTTTTGGGGATTTTTTTGTCTATAGACAGAGTCTCGCTCTGTCACGGAGGCTGGAGTGCAGCAGCGTGATCTCGGCTCACTGCAACTTCTGTCTCCTTTGTTCAAGCGATTCTCCTGCCTCAGCCCCACCCAGAGCTGGGATTATAGGCATGCGCCACCATGCCTGGCTAATTATTGTATTTTTAGTAGAGACAGCTGTTTTGCCATGTTGTCCAGGCTGGTCTTGACCTCTTGGCTTCCTAAAGTAGTCTGTCTGCCTTGGCTTCCCAAAGTGCTGGGATTATAGGCGTGAACCACTGCACCTGGCCTTGGATTTTTTTGTTTTGTTTTGTTTTGTTTTGGTAGGGACAGGATCTCATTCTGTTTCCCAGGCTAGAGTGCAGTCGCACAATCTTGGCTCACTGAAACCTCCACTTCAAGTGATCCTCTCACCTCAGCTTCCTCAGTGGCTATGACTACAAGTGTGCACCACCATGCTCAGCTAATTAAAAAATTTTTTTTGTAGAGATAGGGTTTCATTATGTTGCCCAGGCTGGTCTCAAATTCCTGGGCTCAAGTGCTCCACCCACCTCAGCCTCTCCAAGTGCTGGGATTACAGGCGTGAGCTGCCGCACCTGGCCAAGGATTTTTTTTTTTTTTTTAAACCATTTACTCACAACCTGCAGATCCATCTGCAGTTGGCCTCACCCACCTGCCAGCACCGGTGAGAACCTCAAATGGTGATGAGCTGCTTCAAACCACTTTGATTGAAACAGTTTTTCAAAAATAAATGATGTGCTGGTTTTCTGCAGCCGCTGACAATAGGAAAACACAAATGGGCTGTTCTCGTCTCATACACTCTCAACTCTCAGCACACTTCTGGTCGCCGAATGTGTAGGGTTTCCACACCAGCCAGTTCCCTGACAGTAGCCGGGTGTCGTACGATTCCGTTCCATCCTGACACTAACCCCGCAGGTGATGGGCAACCGTCCCGCGCTACTCCCCACTCCTGGTGCCAATTGCGAGTCCCAGGGTGTCGCCTGTATTTCTAACAGAATGGTTATAAAATTAGGGTTCCTACGACGGCCTCTTTGGGTTTGATAACTTGCTATGACGGCTCACAGAACTCCAGAGAACACTTACATTTTCTGGGCTATTATATTAATAAAGGATATGATAAGGGATGCAGATGAACCGCGGGTTGAAATGGGGCTTGGGGCAAGGTCTGTGGGAAGGGGCAGAGCTTCATGCCCTCTCTGGGCACACCCTGCCCACTCCAGGTACCTCCAGTGTTCAGCAACTCAAAGCTCTTTGAACCCCGCAGTTCAGAGTTTCTCCAGGAGCTTCAACACTTGGGCATAATGGATGCTTAACTCCATTTGCAGCCCTTCTGCCCTCTCTGAAGGACGAGGGTGGGGCTGAAAGCTCCAAGCCTCTAATCGTGGCTTAGCCTCTCTGATTCCAGAAGCCACCCTACCCCCAAGAGCTGCCCCATTCGAACAAAAGAGATTCCTGTCACTCTGGACAAGGTCTTAGGGCTCTGTGTCAGGAACTGGGGTCGAAGACCAAATATTAGAACAAAAGAGCCTCCCAGCGCCCCTATCTACAGGGGTTTTAGGAGCTCTGTTTTCAGAGATACACGTATCTTGTAATTTCACAGCTGCCACAACAAATTACCACAAAACAATTACCACAAAACATTTCTGTGGGTCAGAAGCCCAGAATAGGTTTCACTAAGCTAAAATCGAGATATCTCATGTTGTGCTCCTTCTGGGGGCCCCGGGGCAGAACTCATTTCCTTGCCTTTCCCACCTCCTAGAGGCCGCCTGCATTCCCTGGCCTGTGGCCCCTTCCTCCAACTTCCAGGCCAGCAGTGTGGCATCTTCCAGCCTCACCCTGGCGCTGACGCTCCTGCCTCCCTCAGGATGCTTGTGATTGTTCTGAGTCTGCCTGGATCATCCAGGACAATCTCCCATCTCAAGGTTCTAGACCCTAAGCACATCTGCACTGTCCCTTTGCTCATGTAGGGTGACATATTCATCTTCTAAGATTAAGGTGAGTGAACATCTTTGGTTAATTGTTTTGTATTTTTTGTACAGACAGGGCCTTGCTATGCTGGCCAGGCTGGTCTTGAACTCCTGGTCTCAAGCAATCCTCCCGCCTCAGCCTCCCAAAGTGCTGGGATTACAGGCGTGATCCACCACACTCAGCCACACATATATTTTTAAATAAAAATGGCATAATTATATTGCTTCCTGTCTACTCTTTTGAATTAGCATACTCTATTTTCCATACAATAGATATTTTCTTACTACATATATTTTGTCTTTCCCAACATTTTGTTTTGAAATGTTAAAAATTTTCAGAAAAGCTCAGAGAATAGTAAAACGAATAGCTGTATATCTTCGTTTATTAACAGATTCTGTGGTTTTTCATAATTTGTTACACATTTGCCCCCCCCCCCCCCCCCCACCCACAGAGCTTTGCTTTTCCCCTGAACCATTTGAAGATAAAAGCAAAGGCTGCAGCCCTTAAACTGCCCACAGGCCAGCATGCCTCTCCTAAGAACTTCCTGCATTCTGTTTTCCTGATGGCTGTATTCTGTTCTATTAACCGGCTGTGCTCAGCTGCACTGTCTGTGGGCATTTGGCCCCCGCTATTATCCATCATAAACAACAATGATGCACATCCCTCCAGGACACTTTTTTTTTTCTGAGACAGAGTTTTACTCTGTCACCCAGACTGGAACGCAATGGCTCTCTGCAACCTCTGCCTCCAGGTTCAAGCGCTTCTTCTGCCTCTCTAGTAGCTGGGATTACAGGCTTGTGCCATCTCGCCCAGCTAATTTTTTGTATTTTTTTTTTTTTTGAGGAAAGACAAGGTTTTACCATGTTGGCCAGGCTGGTCTTGAACTCCTGACATCAAATGATATGTCCGTCTCGGCCTCCCAAAGTTCTGGGGTCACAAGCCTGAACTACCATGTCCAGCCCCTCAAGGACACTTTTTAAACTGTGTTCCTTATTTATTTAGGATACAGAGTCTTGCTCTGTCACCCAGGCTGGAGTACAGTGGCATGATCTGCACTCCAGATCATGCTCACTGCAGCCTCCGCCTCCCAGGTTTAAGCAATTCTCTTGCCTCAGCCTCCTGAGTAGCTGGGACTACAGGCACATGCTACCAGATCCAGCTAATTTTTTGTATTTTTTAGTAGAGATGGGGTTTCGTCATGTTGGCCAGTCTGGTCTTGAACTCTTGACCTCAAGTGATCCACCCACCTCGTCCTCCCAAAGTGCTGGGATTATAGGCATGAGCCACTGCACCCGTCCCCTAGAGGACACTTTTTAAACTGTGTTCCTGACCCCTTCCCTAGTGCCAGAAGTTTGCTGTGAACCCTGATGTATGCATGAACACCTTTGTCCTCCCGGGAGACTCCTATAGTCACCTTTGCATTTTCCTCCATTAGGGGAGATGCTGCCTTCAGATGATGGTGAGAACGTGCCTGCCAGTGCTGAAGGCAAGGAAGAGCCTCCGAGGGACAGAGAAACAAGGCAGAAGATGGAGCTGTTTGTTAAGGAATGCTTTGAGGCCAAGGACGAGCTCTACCCGGAAAGGCCAAGTGGAGGAGAGGAGCCGCCTGTGGAGGCTAAAGAAGAGGATGGAGATGGAGAGTCAGAGGGGACCCTCCCAGCTGAGGTCCCGCCACTCCTGCCACCTGTGGAGGCTAAAGGAGAGGATGGAGATGGAGAGCCAGAGGGGACCTTCCCAGCTGAGGCCCCGCCACTCCTGCCACCTGTGGAGGCTAAAGGAGAGGATGGAGATGGAGAGTCAGAGGGGACCCTCCCAGCTGAGGCCCCGCCACTCCTGCCACCTGTGGAGGCTAAAGGAGAGGATGGAGATGGAGAGCCAGAGGGGACCCTCCCAGCTGAGGCCTTGCCACCGCTGCCCCTCGGAGCTGCCAGGGAAGGTAACACAAGCAGAGAAACACACACAGATACACACCCCTCTCAGGGACCCCCAGCCTTTGACTCATGCCTCTGTGGGACCTGAGGCCTGAGCTTCACTTCTTCTGTATTGCTGTTTGTAGGAGGTAACATACACAGGTAGTGAACACTGCTGCCCGACACACGTGGAACAGGAACCACTGCTAGATTCTCTAGTAGCTCCATTAAAAAAAGTAAGAACTTTGGGAGGCCAAGGCAGGAGGATTGATTGAGGCCAGGAGTTCCAGACCAGCCTTGACAACATAGTGAGACCTCGTCTCCACCAAAACTACAAAAATTAGCTGGACATGGTGGTGTGCCACTGTAGTCCCAGCTACTCGGGAGGCTGAGGCAGGAGGATTGCTTGAGCCCAAGAGGTTGAGGCTGCAGTGAGCCAAGATTGCACCACTGCACTCCAGTCTGGGTAACAGAGTAAGACCCTCCCTCAAAAAAAATAAAAAATAAAAATAAAAAAAAAGTAGGCCAGGTGCGGTGGCTCACCCCTGTAATCCCAGTACTTTGGGAAGCCGAGGCAGGTGGATCACGGGGTCAAGAGATTGAGACTATCCTGGCCAACACAGTGAAACCCCGTCTCCACTAAAAATACAAAAATGAGCCACGCGTAGTAGCACATGCCTGTAGTCCCAGCTATTCCAGAAGCTGAGGCAGGAGAATCAACTGAACCTGGGAGGCAGAGGTTGCAGTGAGCCGAGATCGTGCCACTGCACTCCAGCCTGGGCAACAGAGGGAGACTCCGTCTCAAAAAAAAAAAAGTAAAATAAAACAGTAAAACTATTAATGATATATTTTACGTAACCCAGTATAAAAACCCAATATATAAAAAATATAATCCTGTCAACATGGAATCAACATAAAAGTTGTCAGTGAGATATTTTATATATTTTTTAACTAAGTCATCAAAATCCAGTATGTATCTGACATGGTTGAACAGCAACTGTTTAAACGATGAAAGGTGGGCCATTCCTCTCTGACATAAATGAAGCCATGAGAGCAATGGAGGGACCAGACAGGACCCAAGGATACAGCCCCGGGGGAAAAGTAGGGCAGGCCCTGCGAAGTAGCTCACGAATGTCATCCCAGCACTGTGGGAGGCCAAGGCGGGCAGATCGCTTGAGGCCAGGAGTTCGAGACCAGCCTGGCCAATTCAGTGAGAAGCCCCCCTTGCTGCGCCACCCCCCACCCCAGCCTCTACAAAAACATAATAAATTAGCTGGTGACAGTAAATTAGGTGGTGAGCACTTGTAGTCCCAGCTACTTGGGAGGCTGAAGTGGGAGGGGTGGCCTGGGAGTTTGAGGTTGCTGTGAGCAGAGATCACAACACGTCACTCCAGCCTGGGTGACAGAGTGAGACCCTGTCTCAAAAAAATAAAAATAAATAAAAAGCAGAAGTAGGGGTCTGGACGAAGAAGAGGCCCATGGAGAGTCCACATTCCTCAGGTGATCTCGCAGTTATGAAATTGCACACGTCCTGACCTCATGCAGCAGGAGGGGCGCATGCCATGACTGAGGGACAGGCTGGTGGTGGGCTGTGAAGCCTGACCCTCTGTCTCTGAGCGAGTCACCCATGCTGGCATCGCTTGTCACCCTGCAGTCAGCTGCTGTTTCCAAGATTCCTGCGGCTGCTGCTTTGACTCCTGGCCAGTGCCCGTCATCTCCTGGGATTCAACTCCAGGTTACAGAAAGGGGCGGCCGTTCTGTTCTTTTCCAGCAAACAGAAGCCTGTCCTGAGCTGTGGCTTCTGTCACAGGGGCTGGCCTTTGAGCCCTGAAGAGGGTTTCTGTCCTTCGTCTGCCTGGGAGTCCGTCTTCACCATGGGCTTGTCCATCTGCCCGCTGTGTGTTAAACTAACTCCAAGGCTTCTTGTTGCTCCTTAGACCTGACTCACCAGGCTGTGGCCGCTGAGTTTGTTACAGAACTCAACGGGACGGGAACGGAAGGTGTAGAAACTGTTAAACTGGAGACAAAGGAGATGTTCCGCATTGATGTAGGTGAAGTATTTAACCTTAGGGATGAGTATCAGTTCTACCGTTAGTAAATTCGGCAATCAGATGCAAACCTTGGAGACCCTCTCTCCATACCCCAAGTGAGGTTCTTGGGCCGGCAGGCCTGGCATTGCTGGGGCGCTGGTTACCAATCTGGAATCCCAGGCCCCACCCTAGGCCTGCTGATCAGAATCCACCTGTAACGCTTTGCCCAGGTGATTCGTACACTGGGATGCTCAAGTCTGGGGAGCCCTGGTCCACAGCGCTGCCCTTGAACGATGTCTACCAAACTCTTGATTCGTTTTTGCCAAAGAAGCTATACTGGGAAGCAGTCCTGTCTAGTTGCCTTATCCACATTTGTGGTGAGAGTTACATTGTATCGTCAGAGTGCTGTTAACCCCCCTCCCCCAGATGAACTGGCTGTGTCTTTTAACAAAAAAGCAGAAAAAAGATGTGGAAGTTCTTTAAACTTGTCACACCTTCCAAGTTCCCTTTCATTTATGAGATTCAGACCCCTGAGGTGGCAACGCTTGCTTTGTGTATGCTTAGAGTTTGCTTTGGAGGGGCATGGGCAGGGGAGTCCCCTGAGTGATTCCAGTAACTGGGAACTGAGGCTGTGCTGTTTGCCTTTATCATGCCTATGGAATGTTGAAGGCCTCCCTGATGACGTGCAGCTCACTTGCTCTTTCAGGACCTCCCTGACTTGGAAGATGATGAGGAAGCAGGCAGATCTCTGCAAGACCAGGCTAAGGTATCAAGTAACCGTCTTCCACAGTCAGCTTAATTCCACCTCCCTTCTTGTTGTTTACAGTTTCTCTCCTAAACTTGAAAGTAAAATGCTCCTGTGCAGAAAGCATTGCATCCCCTGTATTTTCTTTCTTTTTGAGACAGAATCTGGCTCCGTCACCCAGGCTGGAGTGCAACAGCGCGATCTCAGCTCACGGCAGCCTCCGCCTCCCGGGTTCAAGCAACAATGCCTCAGCCTCCTGAGTAGCTGGGATTACAGTCTTGTGCCATCACACCTGGCTAATTTTTGCATTTTTAGTAGAGATGGGGTTTCACTATGCTGGCCAGGCTGGTCTCGAACTCCTGACCTCCAGTGATCCACCCGCCTTGGTCTCCCAAAGTGCTGGGATTACAGGCGTGAGCCACCGTGCCTGGCCCACATCCCCCACATTTCCACCTTGCTGAAGGAAATGCTGCCATTTGTTTTAGTTGATTTAAGATTTTATGATTAACCACTTGGGAATATATTGCTGGTTTTTAATAGTTGAGTACAGTGCACAGTTACCTGAAAGGATTTTCTGTCTTTAAGATGTATTTCTATGTCCATCCTATGAATGTCTGTCTGAATATAGCTACAGGAAGAGGGAAGGAAATGAGGAGAGAGGAGAGAAAGGGGTGAGTCTGTGAGGCACAATGGGAATTCTCTGAAAGTGATACTGGCATTACCAAGAGCCTGTATGTGCCAGCCTCATGCCCTGAGGGAGAAGGAAGCATCAGCCATCATCTCTGTGCATGAGCTCAATGTCAAAGAAAATAGACACAGTTACTGTGGGGTTGGTGGGGGGGCTGCTGTCCAAGGGGCTAAGTCCTAAAGTCTGAATGAAGCCGGGGTCAGGGGCATGCAAACCAGAGCCCAAGGCTGAGGGGTGCATCCACTCAGGCACCAGGAGGGCGTTGTGCTGCGGAAACCCGGGGGTTGGGGGAGCAGAGGCTGGAGAGGGGCATAGACATCAGCTGTGGGCAGGGAGCAGCCACCCCCAGGCCTGACTTTGAGTTCTGTGTCCCTTGGGCCTGTCTTGGATGTGGCAACAGAATAGTTTGTGGCATTAGAATGAAAAAGCAGGGCCAGCATGCTGCGTTGTAGAGCGAGTCCGCTGTCAAACAGAAACCGTCAAACACATCTTTTCTTCCGTTAATAGAATATGTGCTTTCCGAAGATTGAGGCCATCTCGAGCTTGAGTGATGACAGTGACCCTGAACTGGACTACACATCACTCCCCATGCTGGAAAACCTGTCTGTAGACACCCTCTCAAATATATTTGCAGTCTCTAAAGACACCTCAAAGCAGGCTCGGGCGCCCTTCGCAGACATCTTTAAAAAAGAAGCTAAGAGGGACATGGAAATCCGAAAACAAGACACCGAGTCCCCACGACCCCTGATCCAGGAGCTCAGTGACCAAGAGCCCTCTGGCCAACTATGGATGCCCCCAACCTGCCAAAGAGACGCTACACCCCTCACTTCCAGTGGAGACAGGGACAGCGACTTCCTTGCAGCCTCTACTCCAGGTGAGAGCACAGGGCAGAGAGCACAGTGGAGATGGTGTGGGCTCCCTAGCCTGCCATGGGTGGGGCAGGGCAGTCACTCGGCCTTCACCCCAAGCTGTCCTGTTCCTGGAGGGGTCAACCAGGACAGACCACGCAGATCCTCTGAAGGTCCCAGTCCTAAGTTCATGGCTCTAAAGCTGCCACTTGCTAGTAGCCAGCCTGGGCCAGAAAGATGCTAAGCCAGCCTCTTCTTGGGCAACTGAGGCCCCTGTGGTCATGCAGATCTCCTGCGGTGGGGGGCCTGAGGACCCTGCATTTCCACCCCCTCCTCACCATCCCTGGCCTCGGCCTTTGTCGACCAGGCTTTTGGAGGGGACCACCGACACCATGGCTGGGGATCGTGGGGCAAGGTGATAGCCACACAAGGGCATGGCTGCTCCACAGTGACCCTGGCCCTGGTGAATCACAGGCCAGTCCTAGCTGCCTTCAAGGCAGGGAAGGCAAAGGGACATCAGGCAGGGATGGTGGCCAGAGGCCTGGCTGCGGAGGATGCAGAAAAACATGCTGAATGAACCGGGCCTCCCCTCATGCCACAGGCTGGCCCGTGCGCCTGGCAGATGTGGTTTTGGGGAGCAGCTGGTTAGTGCTTAAAACAAGCAAGCTGGGGCTTTTTCATACGGTACCTGCCTTCAGATGCACCCCCGAATCAGGCTGTGTGGAGCCCAGACCATTCTACCCTCATCCATAATGCACTGGTGGCTGAACTTCCTTCTGAAGACAGCTGCCTGGCTGATGGCAGAGCTGCAGGCAGGAACGGGGGAGCAGCCTGAGTGCGTCTCCCGGGAACACTGAGTGGCCTTCTCTTTCACTCTAGGAACCAGCACAGAAAAGAAAGAAGTGCAGTCTGAGCTGCAGCCTGTGGAGCCTCGGGTCAGGGCAGGCCTGGAGGACGCTGAATAATTTGTTTTGTTTGAGGCAGTCTCATACTGTCACCCAGGCTAGATTGTAGTGGCTCAATCTTGGCTCAGTGCAAACCTCTGCCTCCCAGGTGCAAGCAATTCTCTTGCCGCAGCCTCCGAAGTAGCTGGGATTATAGACACCCACCATGACACTGGCTAATTTTTGCATTTTTGTAGAGACGGGTTTCACCATGTTGGGCAGGCTGGTCTCAAACTCCTGACCTCACGTCATCTGCCTGCCTCAGCCTCCCAAAGTGCTGTGATTAAAAGTATAAGCCACTGTACCCAGCTGAGGATGCTGAATTTGGACAGAACCCCAAGGCCATCCCCCAGTCCTTCACGTCACAGTGACAGGGAGAAAGCACAGGTGACCCTTCCTTCCACATGTGCTGGAGTTGCCCAGCCCAGCCCTTCCCTGTCCACGTGGGACCGTAGCTCGTTCCATCCTGAAAGCATATGTTCCCCTAGTTATACGTAGCACAAATGGTGTAATTACAAATGTCTCCTTTAGGCATGATAAACATTTTAACACCCACACGAGTCAATGTATGATTGGACTATCTCCTGTTTGTGAGAGTCACATGCAATTCCTTTCATCAGCCACCCTGACAAAGACCTTTCTCTGTGTCACCAGAAATGTAATCAGACACACCCAGGTCCCTATAAAATCTGAAGTGGGCATTTTCCCCAAAGGAAAGCAGAATCTTCCACTGCAGCTAAAGAAACTCAGAGGAACAGGGACTTGATACTTTAGACATCAAAATGAGAAGGGGAGAGAGCGAAGAAAGGGGGGAGTCCATAAGGCACAACGAGGAATTCTCCCAAACTGACGTGACTGTGACCCTCCACTCAGAGGGCATTACCAAGAGCCCACAGGTGCCAGACCCATGTCCCGAGGGAGAAGGAACATCAGCCATCTGTGCATGAGCTCAGTTACTGTGTGGGGACGCTGTCCAGCCTAAAACATCTGACCACTCCAATTCATGTCCAGCTGACAAGTTTATTCAATCCCTGAACCGGGATCCAAGGTGTCTCCCTGTACAAAAAATCCGATCTCGGGAGAGGCTGAAACACCCCAAACGGCAGCTGCCGATGGCCACTGTGCCCGCCTCATCAGCAGCTCTGCAGGGGCCTCACCAAACACAAGGAGGAGGCAGCACTACTGCCCCCTTTTCACTGGAGGACGGAAGGCACAAGAACGGAGGGACCTGTCTGAGGCCACTTGCTGGAGTGCAGCGGAGCCCTGCCTACAAGCACAGACTGGAATCCCGGCAACACAGGCCCGCCAGCACCTCCTGAAGCTGCCTTTTGGAATGATCTCCAGGTGAATATATAAAATAGAAAAAACTATTACATTCTGTTGCCCTATCCCTTGGCTCCAAATTGCTTGGCTTATCATCACAGCCACCTCCAGGGGTGCTGAGCTCTGCTTCTCAAGTTTCAACTGTGGAGAAGGATGAGGGCTCCTGGGGCTTGGAGGCAGCCCACCCTGTGTCCTCAGAAGCCCATTCGAGGCTTTTTCCGGAGGGGCTGAGAGCCAGAGAGGATGGGTGTGTGCTGGCGGGAGCGGGTGGCCTGGGTGCTGGAGGCCTGGGAGGAGGGGGGTGTGCCAGCATGTCCTGGGGTGTCCCTTTGGAGTGGTAGCTTGGCCATGTAGTCACGGAGGGTCTGCCGCCGCTCTGAGGGGATGCCCTGGACCCATGCATCTGGAGTCAACTCCTGGGACGGCGAGGTCATGGGGGACCGAGGCAGAGCACCAGCAGATGGCCCCTCAGGACTGTGAGGGGGGCTGGTGCCATCTGAGGGGTCCACATGGCCACTGAATGAAAAGGTGCTTGACAGCTGGGTCCGGCGCTTGGGCCGCCTGGGCTGTCTCTTGGGCCCTGAGGTCCTGACCTGCCGCCACCTCTCCCACCAGGCAGCCCCTCGGCCTGCCCAGGCTTCCCCCAGGCGCTCACTGAGCTCATCTGCTGGGCCTGACTCGGGTGCAGGGGGTGGCTCTGCCATGGGGAGGGAGCCCAAGTCTCTCTGCAGCAGGAGCCGACCTTGGGCCATGGCCTCTCGCAGCACGCCCAGCTGCTGCACCGCCCCTTCCTCCCTCTGCAGCTCTATGCTGCCCAACAGGTGGTGGTGGTTGAAGGTGGGTGCTGTCCACACAGGAGGAGCTGGCGGCACCTTTAGCAGGGCCTTCAGCCACTGGCTACAGCCAGCAGTGTCCTGGGGGGTCCAGGAAGCCGTTGGGGCATGGCAGTCAGGTCTGGTGTCGCTGGGAGGCCGGGCATCTCTGTGGGGGCTGGAGTCGGCCTGGGGGCGGAGCTGCTGGTAGAAGACATCTCCCGCCACGGAGAGCTGGAAGACCACCAGGCCTGGTGTGGAGGCCGAGGGCAAAGGCGGGACAACAGTGGCCAGACCTGAAGACAGGCATGACAATGACCTGCAGGGGCTAGCGGGGCAGGGGGTGTTTTCCAATTAACCCACTCCCCACCCAACTCGCACCCCTCCCCCAGCACACCTATGGTCGGAGCTTTCAGACGCTCCTGCAGCCGCCACTGGATCTTAGGCTCCAGCAGAGGAAATGCAGGGAGAGAGTCGGTCCTGGAAGGAAGAGACTGGGGGGGCCCTGCCAGGCGGGGTGCCGACACCCCCTCTCCTGAGGAAGGACAGACAGCTGAGGTCCCAACCAGACCCCGCCCGTCCCATCTCCCACACGCCGTCCACCCCGGCCTGGACCCTCACCTGTCAGGTGCAGCAGCTGCAGCTGCCCGGCCTGGCCTCCCAGGAGCAGAGGCTGCACACAGCCAGGCTGGGGCGGAGGCAGCAGCTGGGCCAGCAGGATCGGGGAGGCAAGGCCGTGGTTCCACTTCAGCATCGGCACCAGGGGGAGGCGCTCGTCCACTAGGTAGAGAGAGAACTGGGGCCCAAGAAAGAAGGGGGATGTGGCCGAACCTGGGAGATGAGCTGTGCAGTGGCCTTTCCCAGGCCCCACGTGGCTCTCCTGCTGAGCGCGGAGTCCCAAGGGGCGGCAGCACACTCCCATCGGCCTCCAAGTGCCTCTCAGCCTGTGCCTGCCAGCCCTGAACAGGAGGCCCTTCCCGAGTGGGTGGCACCTTCACCAAGTCTGACCAACAGCTGGGTGGACAGATAGAACAAGTGGGAAAGGGGTGCCCAAAGAGGTGGGGGGAGCCTTGCCAGCAGAAACCCGCCTGGACTTCCCAAAGCCACCCCCACACTCTTCTGACCCCAGAGTCTGTGCCTGAGGCACGTCTACGAATGTCCCAAGGAGGCGGGTGGAAGGCAGACCTGCTCCCTCAGAGCGCCCACCTCCTGCACGGCAGAAACTGTGCAGCTCGGCTCGGAGGCCCCGCCCTGAGCCCCGCCTCCCCTGCTCCAGCCCTAGCAGCAGCTGGAAGTGCTACTATTCCCCACCTGCCAGTTATCATCAGCTGTGAAACCAACTGAGGATTTGGGCTATAGATTCATCCAGGATTGAGTCTGGTTTGCCCTGTGGTTGTCTGGGCCCAGCAGAGCCGCTGGTAAGCCGCAGCCTCTAGTGACCATCTGAGACAGAGCAGAGGCAGGGCCGGGCGGTGTGGGTGCCACTTACCTGGGTACAGACGAGATGGAGAGTGGGAGGGAGGCATTCAGGGCTGGAGTGCCTCAGGTATTGGGTGAGTAGGACACGTTCCCCTTTCTGGCATGAAGCCTCTGCCCCCACACGAAAAAGCAACAGACCACAGCCTGGTGGGCCCTGGAAGAGAAACAGGATCAGCCCTCTCCGCACTCCCAGGCCTGTGACGCAGGCCTGCAGCCAGCCTGGCACGCACTGCTCTGTGGCGCGGCAGGTCTCCAGCCGCCACCCCATACCTGAGTGTCAATCATCTTCACTCCAGTGCGGTCACCCACAGTCAGCACCCGAGGGTGGGCGGTGAAGTCTGCCCAACGCCAGGAAGAGGAGTCCCGGAACACGAGGGTCTCGGGGTCCTTGTAGACTTGCTGCAGCCTTGGGGAAACGGGCAAGCCATGGGCAGGGGGACAGGCTGATGTGGAAGGGGTTCAAGGGTCACGACATGCAGAACGGGGAGTGGCCGGCTGGAGTTCAGTCTGTTAGGGTGGAGGATTTCACGGGAAGGGGCAATACCCATTCTCAGGGCTCCACAGGCAGACGGCTCCTGAGCGGCTGCAGATGGCCAGCTCCCCCGGCAGGTGAGGGCTGCAGGGCAGGAATGCATTAACATCGAGCTTCGCACCCCTTCCCCCAGCCCCTCCTCCTCACCAGCCTGACTCCCCCCTCACCTGAGGCTGATCCCTGTGGCCCCCTTGTCCACCTGCATTGCCTGCAGAAGGGCTGGCTGCCACTGTTTACCGAACTTCCACACGGCACAGTGGTAGTCAGAGCGGACAGCAAGCAGAGCTGAGGAGGGATGGAGTCAGGGGTCAGGGCCAGACAGCAGATCAGCCAGTGAGGGAGGGAGGTATGTAAGGGCCTTACTTTCTCCCTGGACGGTGCCAGTCACCACCTGCCGGACAGGTCCCTGGAGCTGGATCCGTCCAGGTTTCCCAAGGAATTGGGGGTTGTCACCTGGGGCCAGAACGACCTCTTGGAAATCTGGGTCTCTCACTAAGGATCAGTGCACAAGCTATGGTCACTGCAAATCCCCCAAATTCCTACCCTTCTTTCAACTACGCCAACAGCACCTCCTCCATCAAAGGGGAGCCTGCTGGGATCTCGTCATGCGAGAAAGGATACGCAGCCTGTCCAGGGCACCTCCAGCGGGGTAGACCAGCTGCCCGAACTGGGGTGTCCTTCCAGGCACCCAGGCCAGCGCGCCCCCGGTGCAGGCCTCATCCAGAAGCAGCTGCTCCCATCGCAGCACCAGCTCCTCATGCAGCAGCTCTGCCAAGTGGCTGGCCACCGACGTGCCCAGGATGGGGCCCCCGAGGATGGAGAAGCGGCGCTGTCGGTTGCTGAGGTAAGCCCAGGGACACCTGGCGACACCAAAGAACATCAGGAGGGTCATCAGCGGCACTCAGGGGAGAACAGGTCCCATCCCAAG